AGGTGCCAATTGCGCTCTATCAGGTAAAGCACCGGGCAGAAGCTTATGGATATCCACTTTCGACATCTGACTTCGAGAATGCAAAGGCCCTATCCAAGTTCCTTGCTTCCTTTGAAAAGATCACCACCGCTATAAGTGCAGCCTCATATCCTTCATTGCGTATGTTGGTGACGTTCTTCCAGTTCCCAAAGAAGCACATTGACAGTACCCTTGCAGAAACAGAGAATGCAGCTGTCAAAAGCGCAACTTCAAGCAATGCAGACCGAGCTTGCTAGCTACTATGGGTTGGTTGTTTCATTGCCTGCTTTGATCGCGAATTGTCTGGATCCTAGATACCGCCTGAAAAACGTTCCCGATGCAGTTCACGCTCGCATTCTCGCAAAGATCTGTAGCGACTCCATTGCTCTGGAAGGAAACAGTCAGGCGCCAAGGAATAGACTCTTCGGTTTAAATTAAAATCTGAATTTATTTATTTCCGTCTGCGGTAAAGCCGCCTGATTTTAAATGTTTAGATTTTTCTAAATATATATAATAAAATCTAAATGCATGCATTAACTACTGGCTACCAAGCCACATACCGTATTTTTGCTTGGATGCAGACACACCATGTCCATCTCGTGTGACACACACCCCTGTTACCAGGGTACGTGTAACCCTGTTACACCAATGGATGTGCTTTGTACGTACCATGACTCTACTCTTAAAAATGCTGGGTTTTACCGGGTGTGTGTGCCTTCAACTGCCATGGGTTCTGTACCAGCGCATCTTCTTTGCTCCGTTTGTAAGGGTAGCAGCTTCCGTTTACTCGGAATTCGCTTGTTTATCTTCCGTTTTGAGATATTTGGCGGGAGAAACTCTTCAAGCGAAATACTCTCGTCTCAAACAAACTCAACGTTGCGCCCGACTTTTTCGAAAACGGTGAAACTTGGTATCATGCAACGCACATTTCGTAAAGAAATCGTCGATCCTTTTATTTCGATCAGGGCTGCACGAGATGTCTGCAAGGAAGCATTAGATGTGCCATGTTGAATACGTCGCTTGCGACAGTGCTACTGTGCTCTTCGGACATATAACAATTTGACTAGGCGCTGACAAGGAAGTAAGAGATCCCTTGGTTCCGAGTTGCTTTGTAAATCTTACAAATGCTAGATCTGCGGACGTGCTAAACTTCTGCGACTTGCGAGCCCCTTTTCTCTCGGCTCGAAATGTGAAGATTCATATTTTTGTGCATGAACGTCGACAAAGCTATTGTGGGAAATCGGTGAGTAGAATATGTGCAGCGCTGGCTACATAGAAGGAACTAGGCTCTATTGTATCACGTAGATCGTGTGACGAATGACTCTGGCAATGAGGCAAGCAACGTTCTCCGAGTAAGACTATCAGCCCAGAGTAAGTTGTATTCTATGCTATGTAGAGCTATGTTAAGTCTTCATAGATTCAAAACTGCCATGCAGTTGCGTACGACACGCGACTGCCGAAAGCAGTACCCAGCACGCCGAGGCATTGTAGGTACAGTTACATTATCCGGGCATCTTGTGACAGAAACACTAGTGAAGCGTTGTAGATATATTTGAACCTTCAGGTAATATTTCTGGCTTTGATAGCCTTGATTTGAGATATGGTCATCCGAATTGTGTCGTGGCAATGAACTGAACCATGGACCGTCAGGAAGTCGAAAAAGCTTGATGATAACACTTCTGTACTCCTGGAGCTTTGACGAGTCACGAAGTGCCTTCTCAAGAAGCAGAAAGGTTTTGGCGCAAGCAAGAAGTTAGTATAAAGTCAGTGTGGGACATAAGGTTTAATATTGGTATTGGTAAATCCGTTACGCAGAGCCCGAGGGGTAGAAGAAGCAGTAGGCCGCGGTTTCTTGATGAAGGTGAAAAATGCTATATTTGGTATGGTTTCCAGAGTGTACCTATACCGATCATGGAGAGAACAACTGGTTGTCGTAGTCGTTAGCGGGTATCTCTGGTGGAACGATAAAATCACAGCTATAGCTGATGGAAAGAAGAAACATGGGTGTCGCGGTCTTCCGTACAGGTAGCAAAAAAACACGATTTAAGTTATTAAGAATGGTTTATCCTCTTCATGATGTATCAGTACTGCTCAGTCGTCACACCGTGTGACACATTCACGTTGCGGATATGTGAGGCTCCGCGTTTGTGGCGAGAAAGACTATGTGTTCATATATGGATTGATTGGGGTTGTCCTAGAGGCTGTCAGTCACTATTATAATTTCAGGCTGAAGCTCACGATGATCTTGTGCTTTATGCTACGTAACACCCTATATCTGGGACGAAAGAGGGATAATGAATCTGCTAGCTGAAGAATGTATTGCAAAACGGTGAAATCACCACATGGTCTGATTGGTACCCGATGAATCGTTGAGCTTATCATCGGTCGCGGAAATGTCGGTCATTGAGCAAAGTCGCAGAAAGCACTGTGCGAGGAGTGGGCAGCAACTCTTAACGACCGTACGGGGTAATGCATCTTATGTAGAGTGCGTACTATGGTTTGGTGACAAGAAATTCTCCACGCGTGTTGCCCCATATCAAAGAGTGCGTCATGTCTTGGTTCCCAGAACAAAATACTACGTCACAAGTCAATCGCTCTTTTACTAATTATGGTACTTTAACATGGTGCGTCTGAGCACCCAAGGGACAACACTGTTAGGTGTACGTTGCGTACTAAAACGTTACGTATCACGTCAAACGTTCGCTCCGAAAAAAAATAATAGTTGTTATCACGGTATTTGTAGCGTCAACTCCTTGAGTATCATGGTGTTCTTCCAGACTCGCTGACGATTATTCTGCCCCTGTCATCAATCTCAACGTGATATGAGCACTCGTTGATGCAACCATTCAAATGCTAAAGAAAGCGCATCGTCCTGAAAAGTGCTTTTCCTTTTCCCGCAGCATGTTGCATCTTTCTCTCGCAGTTAAAGCAACTTTGTCGGACTTTTTACAGCGCTCTCTTCTTGCTGAATTCGCTACTCGTTTTTTGACAGAAATACATTGACACTGGTGGTGAGAATCTAAGAACACAGAGTGCCAACCAATCGTCCCTCCGACTGGCCTTTCGGTTGCTGATTCCATACTCTGTCAGCCGATTGGCTTGCCTAAGTGTAGCGCGGCGAAACATTCATCAACAGGACGTTAATAGAAGTGCTTATTACAATTCCAGCGACCTGAGAAGTCATCTCTTAGGCTCACTGATGTTTCATTGTTGAATCCCGAAATCCAAAGGGAGCCTTACAGAAATATATCTTTCACCACATAGTAAAGTTTTCTAAGGGTCTCACGCATTATACTATCCATAATAAAAGCGATGGCGGGCGGAGTTGTAAAGTCATGCCGTAATGCGTCGATTATTCATACGACAAACGGCGCAAGTCCCCCTTCTAGTATCAGATTAACACGATCGTAGATCTCTCTTTAGATCCTCTAACACACATTCCCCAAAAGTATCTGCTCCTTAGGTGCACACAGAATTTAGCGGCAAATACAAAAAAACACCTCTAGTACAAGAATTACACTTTAGTGACTCACAAAAACTGATAGCTAATAGCCGTGCCTGCTAGGTCAGCGCAGAAGCCATGACTGGTACCGTGCGCAATGATTGCGGCTTGTTTTCTGCTGCAGCACTTGTCTTTGGCGGCCATTACATTCTCAATTGTGAGTAGACTTTGCGGCATGCGAGCGCACATAAGAAGCTTGATTCTTTATGAGTCGAAACCGTCACAAATGTGATGCCAAAAGTCGTTCTAGAGAAAACTTAGTCAGATCTAATTTCGAAAGCTATGATTGTCATTCTTATTTCATATGCTTGTTTTAACGGGATTACACGTACCCTTGTATGAAAGGGTGGGTCCCATAAGATGGTGTGGCCGTACATAGGCGTGGATTACACACGTTAGTGAAATCACACAATGGTGTGACTACACCGTAACACGAAGCCACTACGTGGCACGACTGCCAGTAGTTATGTGTACAGATTAGGTTTTACTATTTGTTTAGTTAAAGTTAAAGTTAAAGTTTAAGATATAGGCGGCTCTGCTGCAAATAATACTATAAAATATCAACTTTGAACGAAAGAGCGTCTTTGCCTTGGATTAAGATTTTGGGTACTCTTGGAGGTAGTGAATTGCGATCCGCTACACTCGTACTTGTTCTGGTACAGAACGCTGGGCGCCAAGCAGGATATGCCAACAGCGGACCATCCACAGACCGATGGTCAAATTTACAGCATGAAAAGCGTCGTCAAGGACGTCCTTTGCAGCGTCTGCGCTGAGAATCCGATGCGCTGATGCGCCATGCTTCCCCTCGTAGAGTTCTCTTTTAACAATGCAGTGCATTTGTCTACAGACTATACGACATACTACATGAACGGTCTCGTGTATCCTCGCGTCCCGCTGACGCCTCTATCCCATCGTTCAGGGCTTAGTGGAGGAGGAATAACCGAGTGGCGAACTGATGTAAGCTCTCTCACTGTTTGTATGACCTTAGCTCTGCTTCCTTTCAGCAAAGAGATACGAAATCGACGCTTCACTTGGTATCACTAGTAGTCTATCTACGCCTGAGTCGTTACTACTAATCGTCTGTGAGGATGCAGCAGCTCTCTCATTTTTCTCAGGGCGTGCAGAAAGGCTTGATAAGCTGATGTCCCTACTGGGCCCTGAGGGCGTGGAGCACCTTGTTTCGCAAGGTCCCGAGGCGATACGTGCGCTACAGAGGCGTTTTCAAGTTATGAAAATGCTCTGTTTGAGCACATACAGCAAAAGCTGTCAACGTCGACTGCGTCTATGACACGACCGCCGAACGACCGCCGAAGACTGCAAAAATAGCAGCCCTTCGTCGGATGTTGTTGATAAGATCAAGTCTCCGTTGGAGCAGGGAGTGGGAACACTGGACGACGCTGAGTGCGAGATCCCACTGGTCTCGACAAGACGTGAAATCGCGATAAAGAGGAGACGGCGATGCCGTATATTATCTGCAAGACGGAGGGCGTCGACCCTGACTCAGGGTGTGTCTACCATAGACGAGATCGCACAGCTATACACCCTTGCCAACGGTATGACGGGGGAGGAAGACGGCGACGTCACCCTCGAGGATGTTCCCAAGGTGAATTTTCTTCTTGAGCTGCACGATATGTCCCTCAAAGAGTTTGGCGGTGCCTTGAAGGCACCCGATCTAGCCGATCACGTCATTATACGACCGATCGAGGAGATTGACTCGTCGTTGCTTCTTGATGAAGCTGTCCTGGAGGACACCAAGAAGGTGCTGAGCGCACGAAGTGGATCTTCGATCCTGAAGGATCTCTTGGATTCATACTATCCTTTGCAAAGGAAATTGAAGACGTCGTCGTACCTACCGACGGACCGAGGTGTGCGTCCTGAGGTCGACCTAGTTTCGGGATCCAGATACTTCCAAGCACGCCAATCGCCCCTGCCCAAGGAGCAGTGTGACGTCAATGACGCCTTTCAAACGGCAAGTGGCGTATCGTTCACGCTGATAATAAGCCAAATGCTGCCATCATTCCGGCACAGACGTCGATTCCTAGAAAGGATGTTCTTCAGAACAATATGGTGGGCTGTACAAAGTACAGCGCACTCGACTTAGTCGATGTATATTATCAATTGGTCATGAGAGCGAGTGATATTCCGCTGGCAGCGTTGAGTACTCCGAGCGGGATGCTCTGAGAGCTGTTGCATATGCCCCTAGGGCTGTCAAATGCACCAGTAACATTTTATCGTCTTGTGACGAAGTTGTTCAGGCCCCACCGGACGTATGCACGAACATACTTCGACGACATCTTCGTCCATAGATGTGCGGAGCACGGGACGACAGATGAGGTAAACCACATCGTCCATTTGAGAGCGATGCTCGAGGGCTTGCCCACAAATAAGCTGTGTGCTAATGCAGATAAGTGCATCTTCGGCGCTGAAGAAATCCCTGTTCTAGGGTGCCTCATTGGGAAGCGTGGCCTTCGAGCAGATATCGCTAGGGCCAAGGCTATTGTAGACTGCC